ACATAGGTCCTGTTAGGCTCCCTGGCTGGGGACCTCGAGATGATCGTAACCGATGGTTGGAGACACTGAGCGATATGGCTGGGTGTCGTAAACAGTGGCGTACGCGCATCTTCTCTTTTTCATTGCAACCTTAGACCACTGAAGTTCTCCATTTTCTTTTCGACTCCACTTTGCTTTCTTCTGTTCTTCATCCAAATAGGCAACCAAAAGACAGCAAGCAAAACCGGCGCATGAAAGTGCATGGTTAATGGTAGTTCAAACTGAAATCTGAAACTGATGTAGGCCAATAATCTGTTTTTCCTCCTGCGTTTTTTACTACGTCAATCAACCACTCTCAGCAGTGCATCAAGTTTAAGGGGTAAACTTTTCTCAAGCGGCTCTTTTATTACGTACCACACTGTGTGGCTTTCAAATCGAGGCTAAATGTGAGTACACTCCCTTCTCTTTTGAACAGACAGAACAAACTCCTGATCACATTGAGCTCTGGGCTGCTAGACAGCAATTCTCTGAAATCCACGTTGAAGTTCGCCTCAGTATCCGAGGTCTTATAATGGCATCACAAATTTCAAGCCCTACTCACTGTTATTTGTGACCAAATTTAGAAGACGAGAAACCAACGTCCGGGGCAGTACCACTCACTAGAGTGGGCGATCGCGGATACCCAAAACTCTGCACCTAATCTCAGAATGGTTCGTCCGGCTGCCCCACCAGATTCGCGCAATGCTGCGTAGACAGCGGTTTTCGAATACCGACGATCTATTTTTTCATCTTGTTTTCTTAATGACCAAGTCTCTGCGCCGTAGAGCAGAACTGGCCGAGCTGTCGCAGCATAAATTCAACCCTTAACAGACAGCCGGATGTCGCGACGGCGCCACAGATGTCTCAAGTTGGAAAATGCTAACCGAGCTTTCTGTATGGGTGCCGACACTTTATCCATGATGCGTCCGCCAGGTGAAATATAGCTGCCCAGATAGCAAAATTTGTCTTCTTCCTCTACTACTTCACCTATCAGAATGAGTTTGGGGAGTGGACCAACCCATTATTGGATAAGCATTTTGCACTTTGAAGGTGCAAAACGCATACCGAACATCGCTACAGTAGCACTCAAACTATCCAGAAAAGCTTGCACCTTAACTGGATCTTCTTCGTCTGAGTACTCTAGATCAGACAGTCTGCCACCTAGGAGTAAATGAATACCGCTACTCTCGAACTAGGATAGGGCTGTTTCAAGAACTACCTTTATCTATTAAAAATGTAATAGAAAAGGAGAGAGAGAGAGTAACCCTGTCGAACATCACTATGTAGTGGAAAAGTGCCGTAGGCTTGGTCTAGGCTTCGGCTACTATATGTGAAATACTAATACAACACATCTGAAGAGTGAATTTTCAGCGATTTTCACGAAAAAAGCATTACGAGCTGGAAAATGTTCGTGAAGTGAATACACTCAAATTCGGTTAAAATTGTTCCTGGAAAATTGCGCAATGGTATACTTGGTGAACGCTGCATAACGCTGTTAAGCATGGGGACGGCCAGGCACACTATTGATTTGTGGTACATTCCATCTTTGCACGCGTTGCGTAAAATCTGCGTTTGTTACCCCGTGTCTAACTAACAGTATTGCTCAACCTGATTATCGAAAATGATGTTAATCTAAACGCTAGCAGATTGATCTGCGATTATTTCACAAACAGAAGGCAGCTTACCTGCCTCAACGGTAAAAAATCCTCCACTCACCCAGTTTCTTCTGGTGTTTTGCAAGATGCAACATTTTCCTCCTTTTTCTTTTCAATGTATGTTAAACAGTTTCCCATTCCTCCTACATTCATTGGCTGTACATACGCAGATGACGTTCTTTTACGTTGCAAAGCATCCACCTCTGAAGAGGCCTCAGAGGTTCAAAGCAAGCTAAACGACGTTTTTACTTGGTCCTTGTCCCGTTCCCTCTTATTTTAAAGCCTCTGAATGTCATGATGTTGTTTTTTCCATCCTGAGCGATGTACCATATCCGGCCCTCACAGAGAGGTTCCCCACTGTCTCTGCCAATCATGAACCCGTACCGAAATCAACAATGGTAAAATACCTTGGCGTCACATTATCACACAATTTATCATGATCAATGCATGGTCAAAACACAGTCTGTAAAGTTAGAAAGTTTTCATATTTCTCACTCCGATTGAGAATATTTTCTGTTCCCCATAGTCGTCTGATTGTTAGGTTTATGAATGCATGCGTTGTATTGCTCCGCAGTGATTTTTCCGGTATGTTGAAGGAAGACTTTTATTTACGGGCGAGATCTCTGAAACACATCTCTCAATATAGTGGCATTGTCAGGGATAAACACGTGGATTCTGTCATAGATAGACGCCTGCAAGCATGTGAAAATTTCACGGACAAAATACTCTCAGACACTTATTACCCATTACACAACGAATTTTCAAAATCTGTATCTATATCATCCACACGCTTAAGATTTAAACTTTTATTTGCTCGTACCTCTGTTTATCGTCATTCTGTTTTGCCATATCTATCTGGCACGTTTACTCATTGACAAGGAGAAAGTTTCCACAGAATTGCGCAAATGCTTGATTTATTGACAAACACAATCGACTGCTTTCAGTTTCATTATGTAATGATTTTATAACTTTTAATCCACAAGTATGTTGTAAATGCTGAAAATTCACCCATCGGGGTGCATAAAGCGACTACTGACTTGACTTGACTTGATCCACAACACCACATTAGTTTGTGAAATATATGTTTATGTGTCTGTGTGTGTGTTTGGCATAGTGTTTTGTCTCACCAAGGCTATCATCGCACCTGGTCCCACGATGCTTATATATCCTAACACAATATCTTCTGCTTTCAGGTTCATTAAGTGTGATTTTCTAAATTTGCACCCACAAATATGGTGTATAAAACGCTGAAAATTTACCAATCGGAGTGCATAGAGCTGCTATGGATTTGACCTGACTTCATCAAAACTCCGCGACAAGAATAATCCTTCGGTCGGATGCGCTCTCCATTTGAACAAGGTTACAGACCCCACCAAGCCATGAAGGTCACACAGTGTATATTTGACCGATATCTTTGTCAAAGCTAGTTTCGATCAAAGCATCGCTACGCTTTTAAAACTTCAGCTCATCGTCAGAAAAAAAACTTAATTTGAGATGGTATTAAATTCAACGATTTACAATGTGGTCCTGGTGAATCATTAGACAACGGTCGACATGCTTCCCTATCGAGTGCTGTCAAAATTCCACACACACATCGACCCATCCTACTTACACGTGTTCATACTCGTTGATCCAGTCACGTGACACAACATAGAAGCATGGGCAACGTGACACCGACAAGCAGTAGGGCAAGGCAATCGGTCATATTGTGATGAAGGAAAGGTAGTACAAAGAGAGCCACGGTTAACGAACGAATCAAGAATAGGGCCCATCCAACCATATGCACAAACGTAGCGGCTGGAAGTACTTCGCCAGACAATGTCGACTACCACCCGAAACGAACGAATCGACAATTACAGTCCGACAGACAATCCGCATCTAACCAGAAAGATATCAACCGAATACCACAACGTCGGAGCTGTCGATCAACGTATCTCGCTCTACGATCGGAACGGCATGCGGAAGAAGAGGCAACGTACGTGCCAAGTGCGAACCAAAACTAACAGGGATTGACCAACAGAATGAGGTATGAACCATCCTGCCGCGCAGGTGAGATTTGATTTTGTATAATTGAACGCTTACACCGGTTGTTTTGGAACTGAATCAATAGACGTTTTGCCAGCTGACTCGCCTTCTCGTTACACTGGTGCCGTCGCCCAAGTCAGTACAACATAATGAAGGTACCTTGGCCGAACGCGTTTACCGACGGACATATGAATTCGGGATTTTGAATTAATTGCATCATGCAACGGCATCAACGGGAGTGCGCATCTGGTCAACGCGTTGGGTGCACTGCTTTCCGGACGAGCGAGAGCCACTTACGATTTCAAGAATTGAGCGCGTACAACGGTTGTTTTTGGAATTGGATGAATAAACGTTTTCTCAGCTAGCTCGTTACAATATGGCCATACACGCAATTGCCGCACCTGACACCCCACCACTCTGATGCAATCACGCATTCATGAATCCAGCTAATCAACGTACTTGACCTTGTGACATTCGCCCATCAGTTTGGGTGACTAGGATCCAACACACAATCGATTACACACCGGACTATTATGTACGATCTCTGTGGAGCATATTACGTTGTTTATTTACGCGGACTCGGGAAATCTTGATGTCAGTACTCACCTCCCTTCACTTTCGATTTATGCCAATCTCCTATTTACGTGTACTAAATGTTTGTTATTTATTTCTTACAGAACCGCATTGATAGTCATATACGTATCCCGTATGATAAGGTGCTTACGTTTTGCTCAACACAGCTGGGATTGCGAATAATCAGACCCAGGTAAGATTTACGTTAAAAGAGATCCACGGAGCTTACAGACAGTTTTATTTGACGCGGGGAGTTAAACAACTCAGTTGGCATTTGACAAATTGGGAAAACTTGTTTGGAACATCAGATTGCCTAGAGTTTCGCTGGGGCCGAATATAACTGACAAATTCAAATGTCTGCTCGTTTGAGAAAACAGTTTAGCTGATCCAGATGATATTTATATTTCATACACGTCTGAGGCCAGAATGTGTGCCAAACAAATAGTGGTACAATAGTCTTTAGCTAGCCAAAGCCTCATCCATAAGGCAGCGAGCGGGGCGGTGTGTAGAAACCGCAATCCATGGGGATCCCATGTCCAATTCATCGGATTATACGCCCTTTGGACAGGGTCACAAGTCCAAGGTGCCCAATACACCTTCATGCCCAGTCTAGCCGGTGACCACTGCTGCAACCAGAAAGTTGTGTGGGGTTTGTACACCTCCCCATGGCTGGTTTGGAATCAGGGTTTTTAGCCGATTCCCCTAGGTGAACTACCAATGGTCTACCAACCCGGTTATAGCTCCGGATTTCAGCTTTTCTCCTTTCTCACTTTGCTGCCAAAACACCTCCGCCAGCACGAGAAGACAGTGAGTGGGAATCCCTCAGCACAAGCTATTTGAGAAGCTTATCCGTATGGGAACATTTTGCAAGGTGACAAGGGTGACCAGCCGCAACCCTAGACACCCACTCCCGACCATACTGAGGATTTTGTGATCGAGATGAGGCAGATCGAGGAATACCTTGAGAACTGTGATAATTTGAGTGTCACTAACTTAGGGCTCAAAAGGTCGATTAAGTTCTTAAATTCAATTTTTTTCAAAATAACCCCTTGGTGTGATGAACAATAGACAGGGAAAGTCCGATAGCCATGAAGACCTGCTGTTCAGTGATGGAAACCGGTAACCTTAGCTCCGGGAGTGTATATTTTGAATTAAGCTTCCATTAAATACAATCGGAATCAATAGCGAAACAAGGTGATTTTCAATGATTCTGTTTCATTTGTCACATTTTGCTCAAATAATTTGTCATGTTACTTAAAAGCACATACTACTGATTAGCATGATATATCGCAGTGCCTGGAATTCACTTATTTTCTTTTAATCTCCGAAGGGGTTGGAAACTTAGCAAGCGAGATCAATTGCACACCAACCACGGCAATCTAACAGCGCCTAAGCCAAACCAATAAAAAATCGCCGTACACACTACCTGCCACGTTCAACAGTCAAATGTGGTGTAATTAAACAAGCGACAGAAATCTTGGTTTTCACTTAATTTATAAAAATCATTCCCCCCCCCCCTCCCTCCCAGCGCCCAGGAATATCTTAGGAATCAGTAATTCCAGTGCGAGAGCTAGCGATAGCGCGCACACGCACGCACACACACATTCAATGCGAC